TAATTAATAAATGTTAAATGTAAATTAAAATGCACAAATTAAATAATTCTTATTCAGTTTAATATATTAATTCACTATTTTACTAGTTTAGGGTAAATGTATGTGAAATAAAATAAAGTGAGTTTTGGTAACATTGTTTTGTACCATAATTCATGGTCAAAGTAAATTCTCTCACTAAAAATGTCTTGCTTAGTGTACACAATAAAATCTCCCCATTTCACTTTGCAGGTAGCCATAAGCCCTTGCAGTTGGTAGTAGTACTGGTGATTTCTTTTCAATGTTGGTGTACCGGTAGTTTGTTCGTTATTACTGGGTGCCGTTAAAAAAAATGACGAATCCTCACAGGCATCCTCAATTGTCATTTCTTTTTTTGAAAATGGGCATTTAACTTCGCCTACCCCAAATGGTGTTGTTTCTCTAGCATCATGTAATAAACAATCTGGACTGGCACCAAGCCATGGAGCTTCCGTGTTTATAATCAAGCCACATTGAACACAAGCTGTTAAAGATTGTTTATCTTCCAAGTACTTTGCTATGGCAGTCTGCTCATTAGTTTTCCCCCACAGACATGGTTCAGGCGGTTTTGATCCATTTGTTGCCGGAGTAAGCATTTTTGTGAGTAGAGCCTTTGGGAAAATGTTTTCTCTACGTTTCATAACTGAACCAAAATTAGAGGCAGTCAAACGAGCTTGTCTTTCTTGAAACCAAAGTTTGCTATCCGATTGGCCTCTTGTGTTACATTCTATGTCAAGCATTTGTTCTTTGGTTTTAACTAATGTGTTTTTAGTATAATGTGCATGTTCCTGGGAAGGTATATGCTTACATACTTCAGCAAAGTCAGGGATAGTAATATCTTTTAATATCGACTCTCTAATGTTAGCATTATAAAGCTGACTTGCATGGGAGTTTGCATCAGTAAATGCCCTTTTCGAAGGCAACTCATCCAGGAATTCATTATATTCATAAGGTTGATAGTCCTGTGATTCTAACAGGCCCTGAAAGTAATGACATGTGTCTGCAGCTTGCAACTTGTTCCCAAGGTTTTTTAGGTCCTGTTCTTTCACATCCTTAGCAAAAGCAGGTGCCGGGTTATTGTAATCCGCCTTGTACACTTTCTCTTTCATGGAAGTTGCCTTACTAAATTTCACTTGGTCAAAGAGTAAAGCAGTTTCAAGTTTGTCATTGGAGGGAACATGCCATTGCTGCAGTAATTGAGTACAGGTCAAGTCCTCTGGCACAACAGTCAACTCAAGTTCAATGAAATCCAAAATTTGGAAAAGCAAGGCTGCCACATGCTTACAACAACCACCTTGTCCAGCTTTACATGAGCAGTTTGCATGTGATACTTTGCCTGTGCTCTGGTTTAGGTGTACATAAACTGTGTAATTAGTTTTTTTCATGGAGGCATGTACATTACTTTTAACTAGGAAAAACGTTTCATCGCCTTTTAAGACATTTGACTTGACTAAAACCTGGGTAACCATTTTATCCTTAAACTGCTGGTACCCATACTTCTTGTGCTTGTGAGCATTTGCTGGTTTCCCATGTTTCCCTGAACTGTCAGTTATCAAGTGCTCTGTTAACAAATTGTGTGAAAAAGGAGGAAGGCCACTGAGGTTTTTTGTCCATGGTATATTTTCCATTTTTTTGCGAAAAAACTGGTCCAGAAACAGTCCAAAACCGGCCAAGTAGATAGTCGAACAAGCGAACAATATTAATACAATTTTTTGTAGTTGAAAACTCCACTAAAACACCCAACAGCAGTGAATAGCACTTAAAAGCACTTTTTTACAACAGCGAAAATATTTGAAATGAGAAAGCTAGGTATTTCAAACGGTTAGTTTTCGCGCCAAACGAGCTCAATGTTTTGGTTGTGAAAAGAACACTTGATCAAACATGTGTTGTTTTTAGGCCGACCTAGTGTGAGAACATCTTCGTGTCTCAAGCCGCATGAAATGAGTCGATCGCCGTATTTTCCCATTTAAACAATGATCCACAATGTGTCCCTTATCTAAAAAGTAATTTAACCAAGTACGTACCTTTACAATGTGAAAAATACCATAATTTGTGTCTGACCATATCGAATCGAAGCCCTTTCACACTTCAGCAACTCGGTACGCCATGTTAAATATTTCAAAACCATTCGCTTGGAGAATCCAAAGACAGAGTGGAAATATAGAACAAGACGTACAGATTTGGCAAAAGCTTTAATCGAAGTGAAAATGATACAACTTTTCTTTAAATTTTCATTTGTTCACCGTCTACTCTACTTCGAAAAAAGCAAGCGCCATGATGGAAAATTCAGCTATGTAACTAAACTACCATGATGCTTTGCGCATTCCGCAATTGGCTCATTGAAAAAACTAACTAGGAAAATCAATTAAGCATAATTCAAGATCAGCAAACTTAATGTTTTTAACATTTTAAAACATTTTTATTGTTAAAACCATCGAGTTTACTGATCTTGAATTATGCATAATTGATTTCCCTAGTTAGTTTTTTCAATTAAAATTGCTGAAATGTGCCTTAAAAACCATCATTCAAAAGGCTGAACTGTGCCTTTAATTTATAATGACTTTGGCAGTTTTTATTTGTCTTAGTTTTTCTTTTATGACTGAATCTGCTATCAGTTCGTCATATGTTGGTAACCTATTGTTGGACATAAAATTGTTTTTTCCCAATCCTCAATGTTTTTCTCCAACTCTCCTTTCTTCTTCACACTTTTTTTTTCAATCACCACAAGTTTGTACATGTAGCTATCCAGCAAAAACCTATCCTGTCGTTGGTCCTTGGCCTTCTTTCTGGCATGATCAAGTTCAATTACTTCATTTGTGTTTCCAAGAACATATGCCAGGGTTGAGCGCAATTTAGTATGCCATTGTTCTTTATTAGCACTTAAAGGATCTTTGCTGATTTGAGCTTCACTTGTGCCATTTACAGCTTGAACATCCTCTTGCACCAAATATGAAAGAACAGCTTTACGATCATTATCATAATATTATGGTACAACATAACAGTAGAGGTGCACCGGAACCCCTATTTTTCAGAGCTCTGGTTCTGGCCGGAACTAATAAAAAAAGCATGACCGAAACTCTGTTATGTTCAGAGAGATGGAATATCAAACGTGTTTGTGTCTGACAAAAGTTCACAGTAAGGAGAAATTTTGACTGTTACACAAGGAAAATATACACCATTAACACTTCATTATGACGTTTAACATTTGTCAATCTTTTTATTCTAACATTTGTGAGCTCTCTCCTCGATGAGTTGAAGTGTCTTCTCGTCTGGCAGCAGACAAAGTAACATATGACTATATGTTCCGGCTGGAACTTTTTCCAGATCTGGTTCCGGCCAGAACTTAAAAAATTGTTCTGGTGTACCCCCTACATAACAGTCAAAAGTATAATGTCCTAATATATTTTGTTAACATTAATGATCTGAAACTTACCTGTCATATGTGCAGTGTCTTCTAACATTGATTCTCTCAAATCATCTTCAGGCATGGGCATTATTGTGTTATATTGAACAATATTCTCATGAGAATGGTCATTTTTACCAACACGTTCAAAACAGTTTTCACCATGTTCTTTGGGTGTACTAATTGCGATCTCTCCTACGTGTTCACTATTTGCTTCATCTTCCATACTGGCATCATTGGAAGCATCATCTGACAATTCTTGATTCTTCAGGAACGGGGTCTGGGTAGGGATAAAGGTATCTTTAGTGGCATCTTTCAAATGTAGCACATGAAGAGGTAATGGAATTTTCTTTTCGATGGACACAGACCAGCACTTCTTTGAAGTTATTTGAAGTTATTTTAAGTTACTTGATCGAAAAGGATGAAGCTTTGGATCTTGAATCTACTCCGGATTGCATGCTGTCAAAAAATTCCACATCACCTTCTTCATTGCTGGTCCACCAAACACCTCTGCCAAGAATAAGAAAGTCACTTATCCTCTCCAAATGAGCTCGCCAAGATTTAGAATGACGTGTTATAGTGCTGAAAGGAACAACAGTGTTGCCAAGAGAGGGAAGTGATTTAGCCAGTTTGGAAATGTGATTTTGCTGCTGAACAATTGGTAACTGCATTGAAAACTCTTTCTTGTTCTTCTGCATGGCAGGATTTTCCACTGAGGCAATTTTGGATAGCAGCATGGGCCAATAATTTGTGAAAATAGACGCCATAAGATTTTCGACAAGTCATCTTCTTTGTCTGGTAGCCAATAACTTGCCAACATAAAAATGCATGTAGCCATGTCAGATTGTGGAATCCTAGAACACTGCGAGGTGAACGGTTCTCATCTCTTCCCATATGCAATGGCCTGTATTTCCACCAAGGTTTGTAACAGCCTCTGTACTTCCAGGGAAACCTTGCCAATTACATGATTTGTAACCGTAATCAGAGTACATCAGTAGTCAAAGCATCGTTTTGTTTCTTTCTTTCCAAGGTGAAACATGCATGGCAACTCAACAAGATTATTTTCAATATGCTTTCCCACATCATGTAGCGGTTCAAATGGTAATATTTCATACTTGTCGCAGTTAATTGAAGCTAAACTAGCCCATGGATTAGTCTAGAGAAGAGCTGGGACTCTCTGAACCCCATGAAGTTCATCAGTCAACAACCTTTTCAGATCTTCTTGTGTTTCTCCCTCATAGATCTTCCAACTATTTAACTCCTGTAGTAACTCGGGCTTCTTCAATTGGTGAACTGGTTTGCCAATGTTTTTTGCCGAGAAATGGCACCTTACAAAATCAACTTTTGTCTGTCACTCAACAACATGCACGTGCAACGATAGCTGTAATCCAGTTCATACACATGGCTTGCATGTATTCCACAGACGGAACAGTAATAGTGGCCCCCCCTTTTGTTGGCCACACTCGTATGGCTGGGTTGTCACCATGAAAGAAATGCATAATATCAATTATTTCCTCTCCATTTTCATTTGGTAATGGCAAGCTAATTTCTTCCAAGCATTCAACTCTTGTTTCTATATATGACAGCTGCTCTACATCTGAACTGCTTGATCTGGCGACAATGTAAACTTAAGGTGATTCTACGATTGTTTGAATGTCAACTTTTCTCTTGGTCTTCATTTCAAACTCCTTATTTGTGTAAAATAAAGCTGGGTCATATATTTTTAGATGACAAGTGTGTGAAATATCTTTCAGCTTTGCTTTTAATGCATCTACATCATCCAAGTCTGAGAACACAGCATTAACTTGAACTAATCTTTCTTTAACTTGTTCTTTTGACATCATGTATAGCTCTTCATCTGTAACCGTTCTCATATAATTGGCATGGGACTTCAAAAAATTCTCTCTTATTACAGTCAAAGGTTGCTTTTGACCTTCTACCACAAACTCACTTTGAACAATCATACCATCGTCATTAAGTGTCAACTTTTCATACTGAAAATAAAAAAGAGACTTCTGTACAAATCATCTGGCATGATAGACAAACTTAATATATACTCTGCGGCAAACACTTTGTGAAATATTCGGGGAAGGGGAATTAAAGGTTGCCGTATATGACAACTTTATGTTCCTCAAAACTTTAAACTTTTGTGCCTAATAGACTGAATGCATTCCCATAAACTGCAGTTATTACTACTGTAGATTGAGTTGCCTGGTCTTGAAAGCCCATGTTGTTTCGTCAGGTGAAAGACAGTGATAGTAAAATAATGGTATCAGGCACAGCCAGTGAATGACAATGTTAATGTCAAAGAATCTAACACGTCTAACACTCCACCATTACTAATGAGTAAATCATGAGGCATTAGTATAGAGCAAGATAACCTTAAGGTACATGATTTGATAAGTGTACAATTTCAGGGCAGATTGAACCATATACTGATATTTTTCACGTCATATTAAAGAACCAATGTTGGTAAATAGTACCCTCAGAATAAATATTCAATGGATTTTCTTCGTTTTAAATGGATTTTTACACCGACATGGGAATTAATATGTGAAAATCACCAATACTTGTCTACCAGTTTAATGCTAGTGGATAGAACATATAAAAATATTAGGTTCCACTCTATGGAACAATTAGTTTTCCTATTGAATACTCATTCTGCATAATTTTTTCGTGCAGTTGTTTTTTCAGAGATGCATTTGTTACCGGCGTTGGTATAGGTATCTCCCCTCCTAGGCCTCTCCTCTTCTTTCATCGAATGCGTGGACCATCTGAATCAGTGTTGTATTGTTTGAATCACCCTGTGTTTGACACCAACCGATTTCAACCACTCTTTCACAATCTGGCCGCCATTTGCTGCAATTTCTCCTTTCGTGTTGGTGATGTTATAGTCCTTATGTCAAATATCCCAAAAGGACTTCTTTTTGTTTCAGGTACCTGTGAATGTTCTGGACTCAGTCTTGGCTCAAACGCCTGCGCTAGACGATCTTTCTGATGCGACTTCAATGACTGTCTATTACCAAAACACCTAGGTGTAACAAATTTGACATGATTTAACTTTTTAGGTGAATGACTATTATTTCATGCATGTACAGCGTTACTAACCTTAAAATATCTGTTTCCTTCCATTCCTCTTCAATCTGTGTTTTTACCTTCCTGTAACAGTCCCGTTTTTCTTTCTTCATTTCAGTTTTAGATTTCTTCTGCTGGAGTTGCAATTCTGGAACAGAAACTAAAGCTTGAGCCAAAGGAACCTGACATATTTTCTGAAATATCGGGTTAATTTGTGCATACAGTTCCCTAGCTGCCTTGGTCACCTTGCATTTTTTTGCATTTCACCTTTGCCTTTGATTCACCCACGTCATTAGCGGTCTGTGTTGCTGTTAGGGACCGCTCATTATTTATTGTACAGGGAAGGATTGAGGAGAAACTGGGGGGGGGGGCTTTAAATTTTTTAAAACCTGAAAATATACAGAGAGACGAAAGAAGGGGGGCTTTGAAAATATTTAGCAGTTTAAAAAAAGTAGTTTTAAAAATGTATCACAAAACAACTTAACAACAAATAACAATGTTTATAGACCCCTTTAATATTCATAAATGGAAGCCAAATAAAAAGTCTCTTATGTTCATGTAAATAGACAATTCCCATTATAGACAAATTTTAGAACTAGGCAATTTAAGATATGCAAATGAAGGCCGGATTTTGGTGAAAATAGTGGGGGAAGTGGAAAAAAATTTTAGGAGAGGTGCAGCGTCTAGCCATAATCCACATGGAAACTTAGGGCTTATTGTAGAACAGGCCAATATATCAACGAGGTGAGGTAAGCATGTAGTGTACATATGTACCAGAGTATTAATGAATTATGAATGTATGACTCCAATTGCTACAAAATTTCTTTCAAAACATTGCATTAAAAGGGTACTTGAGACACTTGACACAGAGATGAGTGGCTGTCACTGTTTCAATTTTACAGGGAAAACTTTCTTACGAAGTGTAGATCCTAAGCAATCATCACATTTTCACTTTGTTCCATCATTTAAACTTTCCCAAAGGGAGGTGCATGACCTTTCAGGAGAGGTGCAAAATTCTCGGGGGAGGTGCAAAACGATCTCGGGAGGTGGGTGTAACGATATCTACTGGACTTTATACCCGGGGCTTTTGTCCACCGGATAAGGGACCCATTAGTCATGTGACTGGAGACTGGTTATATATAAACAAGCATGCTTTAAAAACTATTGAATATGGACTGTATAAAAAAGTTATAAAGAGCAATAACAACGTCCCTATATACTCTAAAGAATATCATTACATGGTGTCAGGTGTGGGATGTCGTAAGACGTTGGAATCAAAGTGCTAGAAACGTTTGTTGATACAATTATATTGGAAATTCGTCGCGTACAATTTGAACAAAATGGCGATGTCTCTCGGTCTCCCGCCGCCTGAACCGCTTAAAATACTGGAAGGAAATACTTCGATAAAATGGAAAAAATTTAAACAGAAATGGACAAATTACGAGATTGCTACAGGAGTTGCAGAGAAAGAAAATCCGACGAGAGTTGCTACATTCCTGACAGTGATTGGGGAAGAAGCGGTCGATGTTTATAACACATTTACTTGGGCCACAGTGGGCGATAACCTGAAAATAGACAAGGTTTTGGAGAAATTTGATGCCTTTTGCAACCCAAGAAAGAACACTATATATGAACGCTATGTGTTTTTTTCGAGAAACCAGGAAAATGGTGAGTCAATCGATCATTATGTAACTGTTTTAAAAACTTTGTCTGACACTTGTGAATTTGAGAACTTAAAAGAGTCCTTGATCCGTGACCGGCTTGTGTTTGGAATTCTAGATAATTCTGTTAGGGAAAGATTACTAAGAGACCCTGAGTTAACCCTGCAAACAGCAATTGAAAGAGTAAGGTCAGCTGAATTGACAAATGCACAATTAAAACAAATAAAAGCTGACCAGAAGATTACTGAGGAATTACCAATACATCATGTAAAATCAAACAGTGAACATTCCTATAAAAACCGTGAGCAGAATTTATTAACCCGAAATGTGAATTGTAAGTATTGTGGAAAAAAACACCCAAGGGACAAAAATTAATGCCCTGCCTTTGGAGAAATTAAATGCCAGAAATGTGGGAAGTATAACCATTTTGCAGCCAAGTGCAAATCAAAGGCTCGCAGACTGATCCCCCGGGTAAATTATGTCGAAGAGGATGAGGCCCCATCTGAAGATGACTATACTATTAGTACTGTAATACATCATATTGGGGCTCTTAACAAAAAAAAGATCTATGACAATAAGATCCCAAAGCAGCTGTTTGCAACAATGAAAGTCAATGATAAGGTGAATATTAAGTTCCAATTAGATTGTGGTGCAACATGCAATCTAATTCCACTAAAAGATTATGCTCGGGCTATGGGAAACCCTGAAGATGTCTATTTGCAAAAGAGCAATGCTACACTAACCATGTACAATGGAACAATCATGCGTCCCGTAGGCAAATGTAAACTAAAATGCACTAGAGGTGGTTCACAGCACACACTTGAATTTGAAGTGGTTGATAGTGATGTGAAACCTCTTCTAAGTGCTGAAACATGCCAAAAGTTACAGTTCTTGCAGGTTCTCGTGAATGACAAGCATGATATTGATACAGTGGTGCATGAGGAGATGTCAGTGAATGCATTTTCTAGCATTTTCCAAGAATATGCTGATGTTTTCGAAAGAATTGGATGTCTTGAAGGAAGTTATCACATTGGAATTGATTCAAGCGCGAAACCGATAATACATCCTCCTCGTAGAGTGCCAGTTACCCTGAAAGATTCCCTGAAGAAAGAACTAGATCGCATGGTTAAAGAAGAAATCTTGGCCCCAGTAAATGATCCTACAGACTGGGTTTCAAGTATGGTCACGGTCGTCAAACCCAACAAATTAAGGATTTGTATCGATCCTAAGAATCTTAACCAAGCTATTAAGAGATCACATTACCCCATGCCAACGATCGAAGAGGTTGCCACCAAGTTGAGTAATGCGAAAGTGTTCTCGGTTCTTGATGCAAAGAGCGGATTCTGGCAAATAAAGCTTGACGAAGAATCCAGCAAGCTGACAACCTTCAATACGCCATTTGGTCGGTTTCGATGTCTTCGAATGCCCTTCGGTATCTGTTCGGCCCCAGAAGAGTTTCAGAGAAGAATGAATATCACGTTTAAAAACTTAAAGGGACGGCTGTGATAGCTGATGACTCTCTTGTATTTGGGGAAGGTGACGACATAGAAACAGCAAGAAAAGATCACGACCAAAATCTTAGAAATGCTCTGCAAAGAGCCCGCGAAAGGAACCTCGAGATGAATAAAGAGAAATCGAAGTTAATGCTGACTGAAGTTCCCTATATTGGACACCTGCTGACATCTGATGGAATCAAACCGGACCCGAAGAAAGTGGAAGCTTTCCAAAATATGCCTCAACCAACAGATGTACCCTCAGTCAAGAGATTCCTTGGTATGGTGAATTATCTTTCCAAATTCCTACCCAACATTTCAACTATCACCGAACCACTTCGTCAACTAGAAGCAAAATATGTTGAATGGTACTGGGATGAAAATCAGCAAAAGGCATTCGAAGAGATAAAGAAACTCATCACATGTCACCCTGTCCTACGTTACTACGATGTCGCCAAGGAAGTAACCCTCCAATGTGACGCATCACAATCAGGAGTTGGAGCACTGCTGTTACAAGAAGGACAGCCAGTAGCATTTACATCTCGAGTACTTACATCTACAGAGAGAAACTACGCTCAGATCGAGAAGGAGCTGTTGGCAATTGTACATGCGTGTGATCGTTTTGACCAGTACGTATTCGGACGCGATATTACCATCGAAACAGATCACAAACCACTGGAGGTGATTCTGCAAAAGCCACTTTTAGCAGCCCCAAACGATTGCAGCGAATGATGATGCAACTGCAGAAGTACAACTTGAAAGTCGTGTACAAGCGAGGGTCTGAGTTGTATATTGCCGATACCTTGAGCAGGGCATATTTAAGTTCACCTAGTCAAGTCGGTGAAGAAGAGAAGAGTTCATTAGAGCGGTAGAGAATGTAAAGATGATTAAGTATCTTTCAATTAGCCCGGAACGCTTACGAGAGCTTCAGGAAAAAACACGAGATGATGTAACCCTCCAAGACCTAAAAAGAAACATTGAAAGTGGATGGCCCAACCAGAGGAACAGAGTGCTACCGAGAACAAGAGCTTACTATAACTTTCGTGACGAATTATCAGTGCAAGATGGCCTAGTCTTCAAAGGTGAGAGAGTTGTCGTAACAGCATCGATGAGAAGTCAAATGCTAGATAAGATACATTCGAGTCACATTGGTACTGAAGGATGCCTTCAACGTGCTCGTGAAGTAGTTTTTTGGCCCGGAATGAACGCGGCAATCAAAGAACATGTGTCTGGCTGCGATACCTGTAATGCCTACCGAAAAGAACAACCCAAAAGAGCCTCTTATATCACAACCGGTACCGGATAGACTATGGATAAGAGTGGCTGTTGACCTTTTCACGCTAGAAAGAAAAGATTATATCATAATGGTTGATGATTATTCAAATTACTTCAAATTTAATGTCCTAAATGAAACGACGGCTGCAGCAATCATCACGGGTAAAACTCACAGTTCGCAAGACATGGTATACCTGAAGAAGTGAGAAGTGACAACGAACCCCAGTTTGCCTCGACAAGTTTTGAGAACTTTGCTAGAGAATGGGAGTTCAAGCATATTACCTCATCCCCGTATTATGCACAATCCAATGGAAAGGTTGAGAACTCAGTAAAAACGGCAAAAAAGATCTTGAAGAAAGCTCAAGCTGACAAACGAGATCCCTACCTAGCGTTACTAGCTTGGCGAAACACGCCGACCGAAGGCCTTAATTCATCCCCTGTGCAAAGATTAATGGGAAGAAGGACAAGAACCCCTCTCCCAACCTCAGCAAATTTGTCGAAGCCGAAACTTCCCTGCATGGTGAAGGAACAGGTAACGAACAAGCGAAGAAAGCAAGCACGATACTATAATCGGGGGAGTAAACCGCTCCCGGAACTTAAACCAGGAGATGTCGTGCGAATACGACCAGATCCAAATAGTTCCGACAAGACGTGGAGAAGTGGAGTTTGCAACGAGAAAGTCGCTCCTCGATCATACGAAGTTATGTCTGACGGTAAATTGTATAGGCGAAACAGAAGGCACTTAGCAGCAACAACAGAAAGAGTCGAAGAGAAAGAAACGCTGCCAGATGAAACAAGTGAACTTTATGGTGCTACATTTCAAAATGAACTACCAGCAGCACAAGATAACCCACTACAAGAGGTATCCACAGATTCGGGTATGCAAACAAATCAGCCGTTGTCCAACGAAGGTAAACCAAGTAACTCAGTGGAAAGAAGATCATCGAGAGGGCGGTTGCTAAAAGCTCCAGACTATTATCGCTCATGACAATATTCTGTACTCTGTTGGTCATAGATTTACGATTCTTTTCGTTGACTATTTGAGACATTTGTTATAATTAGATATTCATATTTTTATGAAGGAAAGGATGTAACGATATCTACCGGACTTTATACCCGGGGCTTTTGTCCACCGGATAAGAGACCCCTTAGTCATGTGACTGAAGACTGGTTATATAACAAGCATGCTTTAAAAACTATTCAATATAGACTGTATAAACGGTTATAAAGAGCAATAACAACGTCCCTATATACTCTAAAGAATATCTTTACAGTACATCGCATAATTTACTTAATTATTTTCCTTTTCTTCTTTTTTCGCATGAAGTAGTCTCAGGGACGTCGCTATAGGGGGGGGGGTGTAACACCGCCCCCCCCCCCCAATAATTCAAACGGTCAAAGTTGGTCAAAATGGAACTGATATTTGCCCAAAGTTGGTCAAAATGAAACTGATGTTTGCTTAAAATTGAACAAGTAAAACTCGGAAAAATTTGGTCAAAGTTTGCGATAAAAGATGGTCGAAGTGGGTCAAAGTTATGAAATGGTTCACAATTTTAACAATTTTAAAGCTTTTGTTATGTTTGCGGTGAAAAAATTGGAAATCTTGCTTATCTTGGTTGAAAAATTTGGAATATGCTTATGTTAGTCCTGAAAAAATTTTTTGAGTATGTTTATGTTAGTCCGGAAAATTTTTTTGACTATGCTTATGTTCGGGACCATTAATTATTTATGACCGGGGATGGGCTGGCAAAAAAAGTGGGGTGGGTTATGAGATATTTTTTACCAAAAAGGGGGGGGGGCACGTAAAGATATTAGTTCAGAAGCGGAGGTCCAGTTATTTTATTATATATAGTGGGGGGAAATTTGACATGTAACGATTATTGCTACAGCAGAGAGCGAGCAAGGCAGCAAATTTAATTCATGTACCTAGCAAAATTCTCAATTTTAATCAACACTGATAGATCGAAAATGCAATGCGCAAATACCCAAAATGCAATGCGTGCTGCTAATATGAAAAACAATGGAACATCTACCTTATAACTTTTGCCATGAACTTGCCATAAATATTGTCATGTTTCCCTGACGTGCATTTTAACAAAAAAAAACTAAAAAAAACACTCACGATAACGAGTAAGCATTGTAGTGCAGGGCCGTACAACATCCATGACAAACTGCAAAGAATGAAGATATTACCCATACTTTCTTGTAACTAATCCTATATATAGTTAATCAAATACGCCTTTGCCCATTTAGTACTACTCATTTGTAAACACATTGCAAATTTCGACATACTAAAACGCTGTTTTCTGACCATCAAAATTTTGTCAAATCTTTCCCAACGTCCAGGAAATGGCATTTCAGAGACTCTAAATTTAAAAATTTCCTCGGGCCTTTGGCCCTCGTTTTCAGCCCCCAATAAAAAGAGCTTCCTACAGAACGGCACTGTCGCAACATTACGTCCACAGCGAGTTTGGCGTACACTGTATTGACTAGTATATACTAGGTATTTCATATATGGTTTAATTTAATTAGTATTAAGTACATAATGTGTGCTTTAGTAGAAAATATACTTTGTAGTGTAGAAAATACACTGAAACTGGATTCTAATTTTTAGGTTAGAATTTTTTATCAAAATTCTTCTGGCCAGTCTAAAGTTAGTATTAGCAGAGTTTGTTCTGATTAAATATGCATATTGTTGAAAGCACAAGTAAATGTAGATATGAAGCCTGGTCATGTGTATATGTATACATTGGGGGCGGGGTACTATTTTTTAGAATTCGTGTGAAGGGGGTCATTGAACTTTTTTGTGATGTAGGGGGGCAGGACATTTTGTTTAGTTGTTAATTGAATTTTGCCAGCCCACCATAAATAATGAATGGTCCCTTAGTCCGGAAACCTTTTTTACCTCTTCCCCCCCTCCGTCGACAACATTTTCGGGAAAAATTTGTATGACTTGGTCAAATTCCTAGGAAATGTTGGTCAAAACATGACGACACCCCCCCCCCCCAATGTTGATGGCTTCGCGACGTCCCTGAGTAGTCTTCTTGAATTCAATACTTTAAGCCCTCCCCCATCTCCATGTACATAATCAGTATACTTAGGCAATATGTCTTAGCAATCCACTTTACCTGAACCGATATTGTTCTTAGGTTCAAGGGGGGAGTCCAGGCAAAATAGTTGATTCGATTATTCAGTTTGAATATATTTTTTAAGATGGCTCCCCACAGTTCTAAAGAAACGGCAGTGAAAAATAAGGTTTTCACAATGACGTAAAATATTCGCTATTTATGTGAAATTGTGATTTTTTTTCATAATCGTTCGAAAGAAGCAAATTGTGTGTTGCTATGGTAACAATGTGGCAGACAGAGATCAAATTTTAGACTAAAAATGAATTTATTAACATTTCCGTCTTTCAAAGCTTCTGAAATTTTGGGTGTAAGGGATTCCGAATATCTAGTAGAAAATATCTAGTAGAAAAAATTCAGTTTTTGAGATTTTACGCGAAATTTGTTCCCAAAACTGTTTTAGTATAGAATTTTTTAAAAATTGAGGATATTGCAATAAATGACTAGTACTTTTAAAGTATAAAATTTCAGAAGCATTGACCGAAAGGAAAAGAGTTATTGCATCATTACAAGCCTTGCGCGGTCAAATGAAATTATTGCTGACGTGATAAAATTTCAACTCGACAAGACCACGTCATTTCGTTACCAGTCCCATGCTTAATTTAAACACTGAATAGTCCGCTAATATTTTTTCCAATCCTCCTCTCTCAATGAATTTATTTTGGAAGCATTCTCAAATAACACCGATCTACGTGATTTGACTTACTTAACATTTTGCCATCTGTTGTAGGTAAATGACTTGTTATAGACAGGTACTTAGCAGAAACCAAACCTTTGCCTTATTAGGGTAATTCATTACAGAAATGCAAATGTATAGGACGGGATATTGGAACCTATAAGCGTTGCAAATTTTATTCTTATAGGTTATGAAAACATTTTAAAAACTTGAACTTGTTTCTAGAATCACACTGCAGAAAAAAGTTTGAAAATTGTTTTGTCCCAAATGTGAATATTATTGCTATATTCTTAGGATAGTAAAAATAGATCTGTACACAAGAACGAGGCTTCTTTATTTTGTTGCGAAAACATGCTTTCTTATAATTTTGATAATTCGGATGATAGCGAAATGATACCGGTATCTTAAATGTATTTTGTCAATGTGTTTTAATTTTCAGAAAGTGAAGTTATCTAGGCGGTCGTCTTTTATGAGTCCTGCGTAAATGAAGAACGAAATCGCATTCACAGGTGCAGTTTTTGACATCGAATTTTTTCATTCTTTTGTAAAGTCACTATTATTGTTCAGTCGTCATTTAACGATCATTTACCATGCACATACAAATCTCGTGCGGTTATGTCGCTTAAATTTAATTTGGTAAAACTAAACTTTCGCAATTTTTAAAGGAAGTGTGTAGAATGGTCGAATGTGTCAAAACAATATTCGAAAATTCATGACCAGCTGGCACCTCCTGTCTTGCATGGGCGTAAACTTCAACTTTCATAACAGTTTTAATTGTGTGCCGATCAGGACAACGTCATGAGACACAGTTCAATTGGCCGTTGGTTTCTAAAGGGAGGAAGAGTATATTATATCTGTTGAAGAAATACATTAAGGTATAGGATAAATTTCTAACTGTTTTGAATGGTTGAGCCGGTTTTATTAGTAGAACATATATGCAACGCATGTTATATTTTATACAATTCAACTAATATACTTTACTGTTTATTGTGCTTTTGCCCCAATGCATGGTCTCGCTTTCATGTTTGTCTGTTTTAGCATGGATGGCCACATATATAGGTTATATTCCATGTTTCGTGCACGAATATATTTCACTTTGATATTGATTTCGACAGAAAGCTTATCCTTGTGATGCCTATGAAGCATGAGGAAATAATCATACGACATCGAGGCGATGGGGCAAGAAGACAATCGATGAAGTTTATGATGTCCACTATAGGTCGCCCGCTGCGTCCCGATATCGTTCACTTTATTTAGCATGTCTTGGATCTGAAATATTTTTATATATGGGAACTAACACTTTCAAGCACGCTGATTTCAAATCCCAAAAGCTCCCGCTCCGTACTCGCAGTTTTCTCAGAAACTGCTATTTTATCTTCACTATAATTTCACGACAAATTATTTCATTGTTCAACGACACGGATCGATGACAACACACGATTATGTCACTCAAAAGGACCAATTTCTATTAACCAGTCTTCCTTTTAAGAAAATACCGTTTTGCTCGAATTATTTAGAGTTATGTAATCTTATTCGTGTTGGACGTAAACAACATATATCTTGTGTACAACTTTGAGAATGTACAGATAAAGCTTTCTAAAATCCTCAGTTCAAGCAATATCTCTATAAAATTACAAGGAAGTTAATGCTTTTGGCTATGTCACTGGCCTAAAAAGAACTCTTTTAACGCGAGTAAGGTATTTAAAACAAAAGTAACGCGGTGAAGCCAACGTAACGGCAAAGACAACGGCTAATTATAAAATGAAATATTGTCGATGGGTTGCTGGTATATAGACGACTTACGACAATCTTAAATAAGCATAAGCTATATGAGAAGAATAAATGTTCACTTCAAAGATCAGTGCCAAATATGAAATCTGTTCTGCAAACTTACGACGAAGTGGAGAAATGTGTGCACGAGTTATATAGCTCAAAGACACAACATTAACGCGTGCTTGTGATTTTATGGAGACAGAACTGAGGATTTTAGAAAGTGATATCGGTACCTTCCCAAAGTTGTAGACAAAATTGTTGTTTGCGTCCAACGCGCTTAAAATTACATAACTCCAAATGATCCAAGCAGAACGGTCTTTTGTTAAACGTATATACCGGGTGAGTAAAAAAAAACTGATACCTTCGCGGCTAATTTGAATATATATATATATATATGATTCACCCTGTAGAGACTGGTTTATAGGAATTAGTCATTTTGAGTTATGCCATCGTAAGTCTTCATCCATCCGTGTCGACGTTGAACAATGACAAAATTTGTCGTGGAATTAGTGAAGATAAAATAGCAGTTTGTGAGAAAACTGCGGGTCTACAGAGCAGGAACTTTTCGGATTTGAACTCGGCGTGTTCGACTGTTAGTTCCCGTAAAAATATTTCAGATCCAAGACATGCTAAATGATAATCGTTTTGTAGGCACTTTTCGAGGTTACAGCACACGGTCCAAACTGCCAATACAGCTAATTCAATTAAGGTTGTCCTTTCAAAGTCAAAATGACTCAAAACCTAGCTCGACCTCTAAGCGTGTATAGCATCATCATGCACTCACACGTCAGTATATGTAATTGATAGTCCGAACACTCGGTATAGTTACGCGGTTGCTACGTTCCACAAACTGTTTTGGTATCGGCATTCACCTTGATTTTCATCTTTCTCGCGGATTTTATTTACTCGCCTAACCCAATTCAATAGCAAACCTGGCAGAATTCATTAGATTTTTTAACTTTTTAATGTTAAAGAGAGTTGTTTGTGTGATGTACTTAACTCCGATGAGAATTAAATTTACTTGATTAGTATAAATGTGCTGAATGTATGCATAAACAAGCTCAAAATAATACTGCTTTTCGTGCTTAGAGGTCAATGTTTGGCGGTTTTCTCTGGACAACCTTAATTGAATGGACCATTTGGCAATGCATTATAGACTAAATTTTGGTCTAGACAAAAATTTTCATCACAGCTTGAAAAAGCATCACAAAATTAGTAATATTCCAAAGTTTCGTTGCGAAATGTTGTAAAATGCGGATAATATAGCCTTGCGAAATTTGCAATTTTCAGTCATTTTGTATTACAAACAGGAAATTGATACCCCAACACCCAATTGGGCTGTCAATTTCCCATGCGTAATACAAAATGACTGAAAAACGGCAAACTTTGCAAGGCTATATATATTATCCGCATTTTACAACATTTCGCAACGAAACTTTGGAATATTACTAATTTTGTGATGCTCTTTCAAGCTGTGTTGAAATTT